GTAACTTTTCCTGATTTGTCCTATAAATTGAGCTGGTACTCTATGCGAGTGTTGTGTTTGCAGTGCTGTCCAAGTTTTGACAGGAAGCAGTGATTGCTTGTTTAGGTTTTGTTTGCTGGGGGAAGCAGGGCATCTTTGTTATAGTTTAGAAAAGATCATAGTTTTGGTTGAAAAAAGCCTTCAGTGTTGACTCAAAATGAGATGTGAACGCACGTTTTTTTAATCACAGACTCCACCTGCTTCTGAGAAACAACAGCCATAGTTCATTCTCACAGGAAAATGTAAACACGAGTTGTTTGAGGCATTTGAAACACCAATCAAGATTGTTGTTCCGGTAAAGGCCGCCTTCACCAGAACATACGCTCGCTTGTTTGTGTGTTGAGACCCAAAGGGAACACTGAAAAGGTGAAATCGAAAAGGCAAGCAGTCTGCAATTCAGAAAGGAGTTGTTTCGTCCTCTAAGGTCTCTCTTAGTATTCACAGTGTTTCTCCTCGATCGAAGGCAAAACTGAAGTTGTATTTAAGTTGTAGTATTTAACCTTAAACAGAACTATCATGGCTTTTTCAGATTTCACAATCCCAAAAGGGTTAAACTATAATTCATGCTCTGACTTTTATCATTTTTGAGTATGAGAAGAATTTAACAAGATCAGAGGTTTAATCTCATCTGTTTAAGACTTTTGTGTTTGTGTCACAGTATTAAAGAAATCCCAAATGAGATAGAGAGAGGGTTGTCTTTGACACATATTCAAGGAATCAATAAGTAAACAGAAGAAGTCCAATAATTCATGCATGCTATTGAACTGCATACACACTGGAAGTGGTACACTCATCACCCATTGCTTAGAAAAAGACGGGTGGTTGCTTGCAAACATCCCTGGCCCCAGTTGCCTAGGTGACCCTGTAATGTAGTTACTCCCAGGTCACATATCAATCAACAGTATTCTTCTCTCTAATTGGTAATCACTTTAGCCACTCGCCTGGAAATTGAGAAAAATATTTTCTTGCTCTCCCCCTTCCCATTGCCAGTGGTTATTTTTCCCATAGTCGCTTGAAGTCATAAAATGTCATTGCTGTTCTATGGTCTCTGGTCACTATGTTTCTGCAAACTGCGTCTAGTTTGAACATAGCTTGAATTCAGGGAGGCCACAAAAGTCAAGCTAACCAATAACTGAGCAACTGATCAGTTCCATAACCTTTCTATTGGCAAATTTCATAATGAGGAATGCTATTTAAGACTGCAGTCACACAAGCCCAAATAACGACCCTCTAGCTCTGGTAAGAAATAATGTTTCCCTAGCAGTTAGTTGGGAAATGGTTGCAGGAAGTTGTTGGTTACACTGCTGCCCTGAAACCTCCTTGAAATTGCTTTGGTAATTAGCAAAAACTTGCCACAGCTTCTCACACTTTGAATGGAAGACATCCACGTATCTGTCAGTACTCACCATGCAGTACAGAAACTGTAAAAAGTACAACACAAACCAGAAATGCAGACTGTTTCTAGAGTAATTCTAGAGTAAAAGATGTACCTTCTGAACAGTGTTTGCAGACAAGTCAACATCTTTCATGCAAGCTATGACCATCCACAACAAAGTGCTAGCTGCCAAATCAACTGCAAGGAGGATGTTGGTGCAGCTTCCATAGCACCTCTTTGCAGCCCTCTTCCTTCCCAGCTCCCCTTTTTCCTCCTGTTTCTTTTTGAGAAATGTTTCCACACCTTCACATTAAGTGCTTGTTTAATGGTGTCATAATCAGCACTTTGTTTTGGTGAGTTCCTCCTAACCAAATAAGAAGTACTTATTTTATTGATTAATTTGGGTTGGTACATGTTTGAGATCTAGTACTTGATTATTATGCTGGTGTTGGTTTCTATATACACTTTGATTCTATTTAGATCTTGAAGATATCTTTATGCTGCTTGTGTTTTCTCTGTGCCAGGTCTCCCTTGATGGAGAACGTGTTGATCCCTACAGGCTCTTGAGAAAATGATAAAACCCTTGTTCATGCTGGGGTCGAGTGTGGAGATTGTTTTGCGGGAGCAGGTTCACTAGTTCTTAACAGCTTCCCATCGTGTTGAAGTGTTCTCAAGAGAGACACCTGTTTATTTCCTTCTTTATGGACCCGGCTATCAGTTAAAAACAGAAGACATAAATGTATCCTCCCCACAGCTGTTTTTTTCCTGGGGACCATTCACTTTTATGAAGACAACCGAGGATTTGTTCCGCTCAAGAGGGATTTAGCTCTGTCTATTGGTATTAAAAATAAATCTCTCCTTGTGTTGCTGTTGCAATATTACATTTTGCCAGGGAGGCTCCCTATCATTTCTCTGATAACACCATGCTAACGAGTATGAAACACCCAGTGGAGAACACTAATTCAAAAGAGCGTTAAACCTGACCCAGATGATCAGAAGTCAGCAGTAGGATGAGAAAACATAGTCATAACGTCCAACTGCAAGAGCAGCGAGAGATCAGATAAGATGTCTTCCAGCAGGTTTGTCGTGACCTATTTATCTTTGTCTCGTTTATGCACAGGGGACCTGAAGATTAAACATAACCTCTGTTTTGAAAAACCTCGGCTTGACCACGAGGATTATTACTCACTGATAGCTGAATCCATTTAAACTGGACGTTTTATCCTCAGGCCTGTTGGCTGACTTTAGCTCAGTGAGTTAAAGTTTCCTCACAGAGATATATTACTGTAAAACAAACCTGGGATGCTAACAATGCTCTGGTGGGTTACACAACCATCCCTTTCCTATGTGTCATCCAGATGGCATACATCAGTCATAAAGTGAAAGTAATTACAGAGGTTTTTATTGCCCTAGATTGAGGCGAGAATAATTACATTGTGTATTCGAGCACTACCCAGATGATTGCTGCATCAAGCCTCTCAGTTGATATTTATTAAAGCGTGAGTGCATGGTTTATATTTTTAACTGTCATGGTTAAGTGTCAGCTTGGTCTTTTTAGGTACAAATGCCAAAATCTATAGGGGGTGGGTTTAAGTTGGGGTAAAAATAATACAGCTAAATCTACACACTATATTTTTTGGTTATAGGCCTGCAAATATGTTAAATTCAATTCCAGAAATCACAAAATCACATGTTTGGCAACTCCTTTGATATCTGTAAAATGCTTCGCCAAAAGATCAAAAGAGCCATGAAGATCTAAATGTTACCCAGTTCAATTTTTCCCTCATTACAAGTTCTGATATCTTAAATAAACCATCATGTTTTGCAGCAGTGATCACGCACGCAGTCAACAAAAAATATATTTTAAAGCTCTTTTATTTTGAAAAGAAACCTTATTAGAAAGCCAAATGAAACACTGGACAAAAGCATGATGTTTATATGAGTGCTAATGAAAGATCCGTGTTATATTTTTATGGGACCATCGTGTGATAACATTCGTATATTGTTTTATCTTCATCCTGCGGTTCTCTTTACGTCTACAGTACCAGGCATACTCAATTATCTGTAGCCAATGACTTTTTGCAGGGAATCCAATTTTCCAGAGATCTCTCAAAATTATAAATATTATTTCTGATACAATTTTTAATGCAAGATACTACTGAAACGATTGATATTCTGAAGTTTTTCATTCTAAATACAATGAGACACATTAATGTGATTTGTGTAAGCAGAGTTTCTGTTGGCTCAAAGATAACGTGGGTGGGAGTAAAGGACACAGTATGCTTGTTTTGGTATAAATTGGTCCCATCTGTAGATTTGCACCTGTCATCTGTCTTGTGTTTTTTCTCCACTATGATCAAAGAGCAAACTAAAAATACAATTCCACTTGAAAACAGAGTGTCTTAGTTGTTTGTCTTGGGTTATGCTGACACCCGAGACATTTAGCAATATTTCCTGGATTTAGCTTTTTGAACACTAAAATTTGCCTCACTGAAGAGTGCTTCCTTTATTCTTTGTAACCCTTTTTAAATAATAGAGCACAATTTTATAATTTATAGCTAAATGATTTTTATGGACCTTGTGGCTGTTGTCTCCCAGAAGCTTCCAGACCCTTCTTTGAGAACCACTGCTCTGCTATGATTACTGCAAATGAATTCTTTTCTTTTATTCACAGGGATTCACATTAAGTGAATTTAAAGGATTCCCCTGCTATAAAATGTTGTGATTTTTGATAATAATGAAAATCAATGGTTTAAATTCTAACCCACACGCCACAGAGTCTGCCCTTGATTATACTCTTGGTGTCTGTGAGTGTGCTTAGGTTTGAGTGATATAAATTTAATTGGATGGTGAGCGTGAAGGTCCACATGGGCGTCTGCTTCTCTGCCCGTTTGGTAGAGAGCTGTGGCAACGTAACACAACCAGTGCA